GAAACAAGCACCCATGCCGCCGACTAATCAAAGGTTTAGTACCCCGAACAAGCTCACAAATATCAATGTGGAACTCTCCCAAAGATCCTCCATAGATGTCCACAAATCACCAAGTAACAAATCATCCTATGGCCGACCGACTGCCATACTCAAAGTCGACCGACTTTTCAGAGCGAGAGTCGGCTGGTGCCTAGATAAAATTGTTGATCGACACCAGTTTGGTCAATCAACCGAAGGACTTGTCGAGCAAAAGGTTCAGCTCATATGAAAAGGTGTCAGGATCAGTTAATAATATAAAAATACACAACAACAAAAAATAATATTTTAAAGTGCACTACCCATGCTAAAGCAGGGGTAGACATGAAGTTTTCTGCTTTTGGCCCTCTATCTCCCATAAACAGGGGATCCATGACATGTATTAGTGGGTTTTTGGCTCCCTAATTTTTTTTGCTCTCTCTAGCCTATCTTCTGTATGGAGCACTATGTCTCATTCTCTTTTGTAACATCTTCTTTTGTAACATCTTCTTTTCATATATAAAATGGGTCATACAACTCGGGCATACTCCAATTCATCCCTATTGGGCAAGTTTGTGTATGGCCTTTCATCATTTCTTCATCTCTTTCTTTTTCTCTCTACTCCCTCAAGATTTCTATCGCTCTGCTCTTTGGGCGTGCTCCGCAACACAAATTTGGATTAAATATCTAGAAATGTGAGGTAAGCGTGAAACATGCTACAAATAGGAATGAATCCGACACTAACGAGGAGAAATATATCACAAAGACACTCTTAACAAGGAGTACGCTAAAGAGTTCATACAGTAAAAAATTCAGAGCCGAAAACTCTGTTTCGGTTGTCTTCACAAGAGAAGGGGGAGAGAGTGAGAAGAGAACATCAAATTGACAACTAATGTATAACTCATGAAGATAAGTGAAGGTAAATGATCATTAATCGTTATCAATCAGCACCAACAATTATTGTTGCCACTAATTATAATTGTTATAACTATATCATTTGTAGCAAAACTATTACTATATAGTTGTGATTTTCAGTTTTTGTCATATCATCTTCACTAATTAAAGATAACATTTGAAATTCATACTTTTAATTTTTAAATGAATTATTATAAGTGAGTCAAACATGTAATTTTTTTTCCTTCTTAGAGATTCTTTATATAAAATAGTAATATTTTCTTTTATATTTTTATATGTGTGTGCTGGAAAATTATATTGAGCTAAGATTTAAGATTTTTCTAATGTTTAAAATTTTCTAGTACATAACAATCATATTATCATATTATTAAATTAAAAAAAAGTAAGATATATCTTGTTAAATATAGGTAAAATTCTTTAAATGAAAAAAAATCAGAATTGTGGTGTCTGAAATGTAATAATATAAAAATTATGTGACATATATGTAAATTTTCCTTTGTTTCCAACCCGCGTATTTTCTGTCCGAACACCTGACGTAGATCTACGTGCGGCGCTGATTATTCCTGAGTTATTTTCAGATTATTTATGGGTTATTTTCAATAATCCTGAAATAATTCAGAAATACACTAAACAAACTATTTCTAAATTATTTTGAGAATATTAAAAATAACTCAAAAATACACTAAACAAACTTGTTTTTGGTTTCAACACCTACCAACTCTTTCCAACCAACTCATCATTCTCCCACAGTCTAAGTGTCGTCCTCACTTCACAGTAGATGCGATCTTGAAGAAAACCGAAAAACTTAGCTCTTCAGATCCTGACTATTTTGTAGATTCTTTCTTTTTCTACATCTGTATTTCATGCATAACTGTAAGGATTTTTTGCCTCAAAAACTATAAATCTCGCTTTATTTTTTCTTTTTTTTTTATGTAACATAGAGTCTGTATTCTGGATGAAATGCTAAGTTCTAATCACGCTTTGCGGCATATTGGCATACAAAGATTGTTGGTGTACGGAAATTCAAAACAACCCTTCCCTCCTTTGCCCTACCTTTTAATAGTCGGATCTTAAAGTTTGTGTACCAATCATTCCAATTTTTTTAGGCCAGTTTCTCATCTTCTGTTTAGATTTTCTCTTTTTCTAAGATCCTGCGTCGCTTTTGTATTAGTTTAGCATTTCTGCATACTCTTTAGGGGTGTTTGGCTGCACTTAAGTAGGATTTAGTAAATCCGGTAAATCCGGATTCATAAAATCCAGTGCTGTTAAATCCAAGAAGATATTTGATATGATTTAACTTAAATCTGCTTAAATTCATCTCTTATGTTGGGCATTTTATCAGGGCTTAATTTACTTGTATGGGTGTTTGGTGGCTGGATCTGAACAAGATTTACGTGATATTTAAAATTTTCTAAACCTAATTTTTCTTCATTCAATTATTGTTTTAACATGAATTTGGATTTATTAAATCCGATTATTTCGTGGATTTAAGGGATTTAGCTTTAGGAGGGATTTAGCTTTAGCAAGAAAATTACAGGAGTAAATTTATGCCAAACATCATAAACAAATTTAATGGATTTTACCCTTAAGTGAACCAAATACTATTCTGGATTTAGAGCATTTGGATTTGATAAATCCCGATTTACCGGAATTACTAAATCTTATTCAACATAAATCCTATTGGCAGGAGGAAGCGAAATTTACATTTAGCAAATTGTCGGATTTATTTCATGTTTTTTTTTTTGTATTTGGATGGATTTACGTTAAA